ATATCCCCAGGGCAAGTGAAATATACTAGCCATGTAAAGCTACTCCTCTACCTAGTATAGATAATGAATAACCATTGGATTATCCAGACAGGCGCTTAAAATATCAATATACAAGCTTTATTAATTAGGCTTATTTGTAGCACTTTTGATAACCCTTTTGTAGGTAAGTAGTGCACTGGAAAATAAACCAGTGTACCCAGGTAGACAAGGGGTTAAACCATAATATTAGTGTTATTAAACAGGGATTAACTAGAGGTTAAACCATAGTTCTGTCCGAATAAAGCAGCAAGTTTAATAGTACCTTCGTTAGTCCTTGGTAGGTAAATAGTGCACTGGAAAAGTATACCACTGTACCCAGGTAGACAAGTGGTTAAAACATGGTCTACGTGATAAGTAACAGAGATTGACTAAAGGTTAGACCATAGTACTATCCAAGTAAAGCATGAATAAATATAGATTGGATAATGGAGTACTATAGTATATTCAGCTGCAACCTAAAATTTCCACACAGGAAAGTGATATGGGTCGAGCATAAGACGGTAAAATGTAGTAAAGCATCTCTCCCTGTTAAACTGACTGGATGGGTTTTGGCACAGTACAAGGTGCACCTCGTCCAATCCTTATTATGTAAGAACACTGGATTCAGTATTTCTGTATGAGAGGCACTGGATTGGCAGAGTGTGGCAATTGTACTATAGGTCTGCAATGCTTCTCTAAGAGGAGTGGGATTTTTTTTTTCCTTTTTTAATATATATATATTTTTTTTAAACCCCTACTTGCCACGGGGGTGCATAGTGATCCTGTCTATTGAGTTTAGGACCACTGCGCTAGACATTCACAAAATAACAGGAATGGTTCTCTAACAGTCAGGAGGTTGTAACAAGCTTAATTTATAAATGTGCCAATTTCTATCGAAACCTGCTATTTTTGCACTTTGGGTAAAAAAAGAGGACACACTCTTAACACACAAAACAGTTAAACAAGCTAAAGTGCTTTAGGGGTCTGGAGTGTCACTTTAAGGTTAATTCTCTAACCTTGTGATAGTACAGAAATTGACACTATAATTAAAAAAATAATAATAATTAAATCAATTCAAGATTGGCTTTTGTGGCTAAAATTGTTTTCCCAAGTTAATTCACAATTTAGTAAATATCCCCTCTTGTCTGCACACAGACTGTACACACTTTCCGCAGGAATGTCAGTAAAGGTTGGGGTAATGTATTACTACTGGTATTAGACATGCTTGATTTATCTGTCGCAGTGATCGGAGCACACAGAATTTAAATGACAAGACAAGCTAATTAGCGAACGTAATTTAATTAATGTCTTCCCTTCCCCCTCGCAAGCTACATAATTCCATTTTCTGTTGCATTCAATTGAGGAAGATAAAGCTGATTTTCACCCTAGATATGATTTATTGGTGTGCTGTATGCCTACAGGTTTGGAGATGTGGTAGAAACTTGCTTAATATTCATTCATTAATGAAACGGTTTATGCATTTGCCTCCCATAATTTAAAGCCATTCCTTCTTTGTTCTTCACGAAAGTTAAATGTCAGCGAAATACTGAAGGTGTGTTTGTTTTTGTTTTTTTATATATATAACTTTTCTTTATTTTTTTTATTAGACATGATTTTGTGATTACAAAGTATTTCATACGTATTGCAGATTAATTGTTCTGGATTATAATATAACAGTAATGGTTGTTTTATAGGTGTTGATGGGGTAAATACGTGTCTTTGTACAGTAAAATCTAAATGAAGGTATAAGGTGGGGGGGGGAAATGGAATATACTCTTTTTAAAATGCTAAATTAGTTTAGCTCATGGGTCTGTAGTGGTGTATGGTTTTATAAAATATATATTACTTATTGTCTATTTTTACCATGAATTTGAAGTTAACTTTGAATTCTCACTATAGTGAATGACCTTGTTAGATGCTTACTAATGTGGTTTTGGTGTATAATAGATCATGCCCCTGCAGTCTCACTGTTTAGTCTATTGCCATGAACGAGTTAAATCACTTGTCCAAGACTCTCACAGCCTCCCTAAACACCTCTGGAATGATGGTTTACATTTGTTTTATCTTTATTGTACATTGTGTTTCATAAATTGGAATTTCGTAACTCCTGCTATGTACATTACCTGCTAGAGTTCAATTAACAGAGCAGGAGATAAGAACTTCGAAAGTAAAACACATTGTGCTGTAAGATCTATTGGGTTTGTTGGTCACAGTCATGTAACTCCAAAAAAGACAGAAAATTGAGCAGTGGGGCCTGTCCTCAACTTTGTGGACAGAAAATGGGGGGCAGGGGATGACGTGATTGGTGAGCGTGCACGCTTTTTTCCCCCCACGAGGATATGGGTCTGAGGAGATCTCCCGAAGCAGTGTTCAAGGGTAAACGCTGAAGCAGCCGTTAATAGGACATCTGAGCTACGCGTCTAGCCTGCAAAGGAGGGGAGACGAAAGATAATTGAAGGAGTACCTTCGACTTTTGATAAACCTGTTGGCTGTTTGCTAAGCTCTCTCTATTTATCGGGGACGTACCCTGTTGCAAAGGCTTCTAGCAGTGAGGTGCAACAGCAAGGCCTGGGGAGGTGAAGCTGAGATCACCTTTAGATAAGCGGTAAATATAGACTTGCTGTATTAAATGAAGCAGCAATAAGCTGTAACACCTACTCTACCAAACTAGGTTATTTTTATTTAATTTTTTTACTTTTTTTTAATAAAGTTGCAGCATCCAATATCTGTATTGAAATTAGTGGTTTGGTGTGCTGATAATACTAGCAGGACTTAATAAATTGGTATACAGATTCAAGAACAAATTCCCAGCTACAAATTGCTTGTGACTTTTTGCACCATTAAATATGGGAGATAGAGGGAAATAAGAAGAGGTATTGAATCTTATTAAAAACTGACATTAAGCAATATAAACTGTAATAAACTGTTTCTTAATCTGCTGCGTTTGAGTTGATTTGACTTTATGACCAAATTGCAGTATTGAAATAAGTTGCTGGACAGTTTACTGGATTCTTTTTTTACTTATTTTTCATCCAACTTTTAAGGCAATTTATACTCAAATCAAGGAAGTGGTATATCTGGAAAGTTATTGTAGCCCTATAAATTCCTGTAAGAAGATTAATAGGACGATTGACTGCTAAACTAATCTTTCAAGGCGGAGATAAAACCTTTATTTATTTTTTTATTTTTTTTGTTTGCGCGTGGACATTGGGAACTTCATAAGTATAAAGAAAATTACAACCAAAATGTCTCCAAAAAGAAAGAAAGTTACAACTGTAAATACTGAGAAAAATACAAAGATCAATTCATACTATTCACCTAAATCTCAAGAGCACTCCTTACTTCGTTACTTACTTCGAATCCATTCCCTTAAATGTAACCCAGGAAGACCACTCAGTAACTTCTCAATATATTACGCAATGAATACTCAACGAAGCACTTGGTCTATACCTTAAACTAAAACAGGATTCTGAAGAGAAGTCTAATATCTTATGGCTGGAGATATCTCCACTATCTTCTAAATTGCAATCTGATACACTTCAAAAAATGCAAGCTAGTAATGAAAATCTAACTTTAAAGTATAATCAACTGGAAAGGAAGATTAATTTATTGGAGACCAAATTAGTTGATCTGTATGATCGGTCTCGAAGGAGCAACATAAAATTGAGAGGTGTTCCAGAGTCAATTACTTTTGATCAGCTGGACCAGTATTTAAAGGGACACTATAGTCACCAGAACAACTACAGCTTAATGTAATTGTTCTGGTGAGTATAATAGCTTCCTTCAGGCATTTTCATGTAAACACTGCCTTTTCAGAGAAAAGGCAGTGTTTACATTGTCCCTAGGGACATATCCAAGTGGCCTCTCCTTAGATGGCCACTGGAGGGGTTTCCTGGCTCAGGGCTGCACAGTAAGCAGCCCTGCCTTCAGCGTCCCCATGCTCTGCATGTAGACTCTGAATTTTCCTGATAGAGACGCATTGATTCTAATTGGCCAGTTCTAATTTTCCAGAACGACATTTGGCCCCGCCCTGTGCCGATTTTTAAAAATCTGCCATTGCACCAGCGGACCCGGACCTGGAAATAAGGTGTTTTTAAAAAAAACAAAAAAAACCCTTTTTTTTATAGGGGGGCTAAGGGTGGAGGGGGGTGATATATGATTGGTTTAGCACTATAGGGTCAGGAATACATGTTTGTGTTCCTGACCCTATAGTGTTCCTTGAAGATCTCTCATTTCAAAATTTATACGTGAAAAGTCAATGGGAGAAATTCCGTAGACTCTCTATAGACCGAAGAATAAGTCATCAGATATTCCAAGGGACATTGTTGGTTTCTCCAATAATTATATTAAAAATCTGATTATGCAATCATCACAGAAGAACCCAACTCTGGATCCGCAATTTAAAGATATCAAGCTATACTCCGATCTATCCCCAACGACTCGACAGGCAAGAAAGAGCTTTGTGGTCCAGACTGCTATATTGAGATCTCACAATATTAAATACAAATTGAACTTTCCTATGGCTCTAACCGTATTTTTTTTTTTTTTCAAAATCCGCACCATTTTTATAAAGAAGCAGCTACTCCACAAGAAGCAATTTTATCTTGGAATCTTTAGTAAATATAATTCATACTGAATAAATTAAGAGTAACCCTTTAGCTCCCTAGAGAGAGGGAAAGGGAAATGTTAATTGATAATTGTTCAATCTATAAGACGGGTATAGTATATTTTAGGGGTCCATTATTATTTTTGACCAAATGATAAAATTCAAAATATATATACTGTAGTAAATACTTATTTTTTGGTCTAAAGGAGGTAATTTGTTATTTAAGCAATAATGATATAGCAATAATATCATAGTGATAAAGATAAGGTTTTACCATAAGATATGGCTGGTAAACATCCCGGTTCCAGGAGCATACACACTGCTCCCACACAGCCCTGAGACCTGCAGCACGCGGAGACTCCACATGGCTCACAAAATGGCAGCAATCACAGCTGGAGGCCCAGCCGAGGCCTACTTCACAACAACCATGAGCAAACTGAACAGCATATTTGCCAAAAACTTGGCAAAACTCGAGGCTAGGCAACAGCATACTCAGCTGAAATACTCACAGACCTCGGAGGCACCAACTCCACAAAAGCGCACAGATTAGCCCATCCCACCAGAATCCTGAATAAGCTGTATAAGTGGAGAACCCCACTAATTGCATGGTGGATGCCAAAGAAACATGGCTCAATACTGCACCCAGGGCCCAAGAACCCAAAAAGCAAAACCTGCAGCCAAACGGGGCCTAGTCAGCATGAGGAGACTAGGGACTTTGAATCGTTCGCCCCCTCAAAATGGCGCATACCGCATTGGAGCCCCATGGGGACATAAGCGCACAAGCCCTCCATCGGGACACTCACACAATACCTGCCTCCATGTGGCACTCCCCAGCGATCATCAAACACTCCTGAGTAGGGGGGTCGGCTGACACTGGACCCCCTTCCTGAGGCACATGGCCGGCTCTGTGTGGGAGCTCTTTACAAAACTACCTACATCACTTAGGATTTTTGAGCCATGTTTTGCCCTCACATTCTGATGACCAGAAACATTTAATTCCTGTTTGCAGTTCTTATTATTTCCAACTGCGCAGTGAAGCCATCAGATGGAGAGTCAGGTTTGTAGTGGTTTTTCTTTTCATGTAATTTACACCAGTTTTGCAACATCTCCTATGTGCAAGTTACTCTGATTATGCCTAATCTAGCTTGTTTTCTTTACTGCACATAGCAAACTAATATAAGCTATCTGGCGGTACATTCTGTTGTTTCTAAGCTACCCAGTGCATGTACTTAAACTGGTTCCTTTATTTGTGTTTATAATACCAAGCACTGAATCCTTTCTTGTTAAAGTTCCTAAAAATGTGCAATGTTATCACTATGCCACTGTATTATGCCAGTGTAATACTATGCCTTTTAATTCGCTAGCTATAGCCATTCTGGTTAGGCCAGTCTGTTTTGTAACTCTATGCACAACAAAAATAAAGAATTGGGGAAAAAATATATATATGTATTGCAAGAGCTTGGAAACGTCCATCGCCTATATCATAGCAGAAGATTATGGAACAAATAGAATTTCAGTATAGGATGGAACATGACTTTATTTCTAATGCTGGAATTAGAATGACTTGTGCAAAATTGTGATTACCCTGGACAACCAACCAATAAGATAAACATATCATGGCAGTTTACCCGGTCTGGTTTTACCTCATGTCGAATCTCCAGAATCTTCTTTATTTTATTTTTATTTTTTTTAACTTTTCTCTATTGTTATTAATAGAACACTAATATCAGACATAATCTAGATGTAAAGAAGAAAGTGGGTCGAAGAATTTGGATATATGTCGGAGCATACGAAGATGTTTTGTTGACATATGATATTTTGTGTATAAATTAATAAAAAAAATTATAAATATATTTGTACTCTTGAGAAGGTATTTGTACTGTAATATAAACAACTATAATATGATATCAACCCTGCCTTAATGTAATATTTGTCTGTGAAATATCTTGTCTATATGGTTTTTTTGTTCAAATAAATAAAATAAATAATTGAGCAGTGGGACT